AGAGAGTTTAAATAGATAGCTTCCTAGTTAGGCTATAGGTATGATAGCTAGTGTAGAACCCCTAGCATAGCACTAACATTTCAGGCGGACTACTTAAATAGGCAATCAAAAGTTGTATGTATGACTAGTTATACTCTCGTGATACTGATATAATATATAAAGCCAGTGCTAAAATTAACATTGGTCTACCGCTTGTACTAATAAAGTGCCAAGGGCCTAAGTGGTTACCTTAATATTAAAAAAAAAAAAAAATTATTTAATAAAAATTTGTAAAAATAATACAAATTTTTTTTTAGAGAGTTTATATAGATAATTAAAAAAACTTGTTATTATAATAAAATAGAGATTAAATAAGAAAAACTGATTTAAAATTTTTAAATTTACTATTATTATTTAAATCACTAAAATTAACCTCATATTAATAATAACTAATTATCTATTATGAGAGTTTGTACATTTTTGCTAATCATTTTTTTATGTAAAAATAAAATACAATATACATTTTTAATTTATTTTGAATTATTAATATATTAAAAATATAAGTCTCATAGCTATGTGAGTTATAGTTTTATTTACTTTTTCAGATATATTATATATCTTTGCTATTGTTTTTGGTTTAGAATTTTTTGAAAATTTTGGTACAAAAAATTGATAGAAAAAGTTGTAAATTTTATTTTATATATTTTTTTAAGAATTAAACATATTTAACTATATAAAAATTTTTCATTGCTAGCCAAACTGTATTAAGTATAAGCCAAGATTATCTTAATGCTATTTAAATTAAATAGTTAATATAGTTATAGTTTATTTACTGGTTATTATGGAACCAAAAATATGTTTAAAGTTAGTATAAATTATAAGAAAAAACTTGTACTAGTATATAAAATAAACTGCTAATAAAATAAACTACCAATAAAATAAACTATCTATAAAATAAACCTGTTTGCAGATTAGTTATTTGCAAAAATAAATTTAAAATATAAATTAATTGATAGTAAAATAAATAATGTTAATAAAATAATACAGTAGTTTTTGTATTTTTACAAGTATATCTACTTGTATTGTTTAATATTTAATTAAATATTTTTTAAGTATATTTTATATTTTTTAATATAGTTAACTCTCTTTTATCTGAATCTCTCTAAACTAAACTTTCTCTAATCCAAACTTAAAACTCCAATACATTTATAAATTCTATTATAAAGTTTAAATTAGCTTATAATACCTTTTTAAGAACCAAACTAAAAATCTAAAAACAGGCAGTTCAGAATAGACAGAGTTAACTGTGCTTTTATTATAATTAAGATTTATATAAGATTTAAAAAAATCAAAATAATGTTTTTACAAAGTTTATTTGCTAATACTTTTTAAATTACTACTATTAATATACAAAGAAGCTAGCATAGTATTTTTAAAAGTATATTTACTAATACTTTTTTTTTATTCTAATTCAAAATAACTCATATTATTTAAAGAAGTCAAAGTGCTATTTTTATAACTTTAAATAACTTTTTTTTTTCAAAACTAAACTACAAATAACTATTAAGAAAAATTTTCATATTAGTTTTAACATCTTGCATTGATTAATTAACTAACTAGTTTTTGAAATAATATATACATAGGTGTAAAACACCATAGTAAAAGTATAATGTTTTTGCTACGTATAATCTATTAATTAGTTTTTTAAAAAATTTTTAATTTGATATTATATATATATATATATATATATATATATTACATTATATACAGTATACAGTACGTATTTATTTATTTTCATTATCACTTTCTGAACGTAAAAAATGAAAATATAAATAAATTAAAATTATACTTGTAAAACCTATAGCTATAGAGCCGTAAGAAAAAGTTCTATAATCTAATATATAAATATATAAATAAATATTTGTATTACGTACGTAATTAAAATTTTAAATTAGCTTTGTTAAAAAAAATTATATATATATATATATATATATATTTAAAAAAAAAAAAGTATATACAGTACATACCTGAATTTAATTTTTTTAAATCTTTTTTAAATTTTTTACCAATAACTTGAGCAATTTTTTTATCAATATCATTAACAAAAATAAGATGAACATCATTTTCATTCATATTCCAATTTAAACCATTAATAAAAATAGCACTAATAACAGTAATTTGTTGATTTTCAAATTTTTTTAAAGCCAACATTTTATACTTTAAAGCTTGTAAACCAACAACTTTTCTAGCCAAAGTTCTAGCTTTTCTTGCAGTTGAACCAGGAATAGTTTTTATATGTTTAACTTCAACAACACAAAAAACACCGGAATCCGAAGCAAAAATAAAATCACCTTGACCAAAATTAGGTTTGTTAAGAACATAATTCCATTCAAAAGTGAAAAGATATTTAAAACCTGGAAGATAATTTGATAAATTTTGAATAAGTTGAGATTTTAAACGATGTTCTTGTATACTAACATCTTTATAAATAGACCACTTTTTGATTTGATTATTATGCCTAATACGTAAATATTGAGTGAAAGGTAAATACCATTTTGAAGATAAAAGAAAGAATTTTCCAAATAAATCATCTAAATTATTAGACCAATAAAAAATTAATTTATTTGGTCTATTAGTAGTTCCAACATATTTTTCATAAAATAATTTATTAGAATTAATTAAATCTTTAAATTCAAGATCAATAAAATTTTTTATATCATGATAATTAATAATATTTTCATGAGTTAAAGAATTTCTATCATAATATAATTCAGCACGATTTTTTTCCGATTGAATAGAAGATAAAATTTTCTTGCAAATTTGAAGAACAATATTTTGTTTATCCTTATTAAAAGTATAAGAAGAATTTTTAAACGAAGGAATACTACATTCCAAACATTTACAATTATAATTAATTAAATTCGGGTTATTAATATTGTTATTATTAAGGATTTTTTTTTTTTTTTGTAAAGTATTTAAATAATTTGAAGTTGAAAAAAACGATTTTTTTCCCGAATTTAAAAGTAAATTACGTTTTGTTGAAAAAGAGATTAAATTTTTGATATACATTTTTTTTTTTTAACTTGTAATTAGCGTTTAGTAATGGGGCTTTTAAAGATCTATGTTGCACAGATTAACGTACGTACGTATCATAGGTATATAGAGCATAGCGGGCTTTCATTGTAATTGGCTGATTTTTGTAGATCATATCATCACATGGGAAAAATATTATTGGATAATCGAAATTGTTCGCAAGATAGATTGATTTATTTTATCTATGAAAAATAATTCTTCGCAAGATTTATTTTATATAAAAAATAATTAATAGCTAAAAT